TTTATAAAACACTGGGTATGCCTCAGCTAGACTATTGTGTTCAGTTCTGGGCACCACACTTTAGGAAGATATCAAGACATTGGAGAGGGTGCAAAGGAGATTTACCAGGATGGTATCAGGATTGAGAGCCTTCATTTATAAGGAGAGGCTAGAGAAGCTAGGATTATTCTCCTTGGAGAAGAGAAGGTTAAGAGAAGACTTAATAGAAATTTTCAAAATTATGAGGGGATTTGATAGGATGAAAAAGGAGAAACTATTTCCAATGGTGGGTGGGTTGGTAACCCAAGGACACCAATTTTTAAAAAAATAGTTGTTAAAACAGAGGGGAGGTGAGGAGAATTTATTTCACACAGCGAGTTGTTCAGATCTGGAATACATTGCCTGAAAGGGTCATGGAAGCCGATTCAATAAATAGGGAGGTAGAAAGGGCTTTAAACTACTAAGGGGGGTAGGTAAAAACATAGTAAAGTATAGTCCACCACAGTTAAACTTGAGATCAACAAAAGCAAGAGAGCAGATTAACAAGGGAGAAGAGCAAAGTGTGTCAAGCAGGGAAAGGAAGTACAGTAATAGAGTGCTGGTGAATAGGGTTAATAGCCGGAAGTCAGAATTAAGGGCGCTACATCTGAATGCACGAAGCATTCGTAACAAGATAGATGAATTAGTTGCACCAATAATAATAATAATAATAATAATCCTTGCATTTGATATAGCGCTTTTCACGTCGGGAGGACGTCCCAAAGCGCTTCACAGAACACACTGTAAAGTGAATTGACTGTATATTTGTGGGCGAATTTGTGGGCAATAGAGACAAACCGGTAGGATCTAGTAGCCATCACCGAGACATGGTTACAGGGTGATCAGGGATGGGAACTGAATATTCCCGGCTACGTGGTATATAGGAAAGATAGGCGATATGGTAAACGAGGCGGGGGAGTGGCCCTGCTAATAAAGGATGGGATAAAAACAGTAGAGAGGAAAGATTTTAAATCTGAAAAGCAAGATGTAGAGTCAGTATGGGTAGAGATACGTAACTTCAAGAGGCAGAAAACTATAGTGGGAGTAGTTTATAGACCCCCAAACAGTGGTCAAAGTATCGCTCAAGGTATAAATCAAGAGATTAGTGGAGCATGTAGCAAAGGAAAGACACTAATTGTGGGTGATTTTAACCTGCACATAGACTGGGACAACCAAATTGGGAAAGGTAACATAGAAGAGGAGTTTATAGAATGTATTAGAGATAATTTTCTAGATCAATATGCTGAGGAGCCGACCAGGGAACAAGCCATATTAGACCTTGTTTTGTGTAATGAAACAGGGCTGATCAGCAAACTGGAACTTAAGGCTCCTCTCGGGCAAAGCGATCATAATATGATGGAATTTAGCGTTAAGTTAGAGAGGGAAGTAGTTAAGTCTGAAGCAAAAGTCTTCAATTTAAATCGAGCCAACTTTGCTGGTATGAGAGAGGATTTAGCCAGAATAAACTGGGAGACTAAACTTAAAGATTTGACGGTAGACCAGCAATGGCAGACATTCAAGGAGATAGTGCAAAATTCCCAACGAGCACATATTCCTTTGAGGAATAAGAATGCCATGGGAAAGGTGGTGCAGCCATGGCTAACTAGAGCAGTTAGGGAAAGTATCAAATCAAAAGAAAAAGCCTATAAAACAGCGAAGATGAGTAGTAAACCCGAGGATTGGGAGAACTTTAGGGAACAACAGAGGAGGACCAAAAAATTGATCAAGAGGGAGAAAATAGATTACGAGGGCAAACTAGCAAAGAACATAAAAACAGACTCCAAGAGTTTTTACAAATATATAAAGAGGAAAAGGCTAGCGAGGGTGAATGTGGGTCCATTACAGGCAGAGACCGGAGGAATTATAATAGGGGACAAAGACATGGCAGAGTCATTAAACAAGTATTTTTCTACAGTCTTCACCGTAGAAGACACTGGAAACATACCAAAAATAGAGGACCAAGAAGACAATGTTAGCGAGCAACTTAGGGAGATTAACATTAGTAAAGAGATGGTTCTAGGTAAATTGTCGGGTCTTAAAACCGATAAATCCCCTGGACCGGATGGCCTGCATCCGAGAGTTTTAAAGGAGGTGGCTACTGAGATAGTGGATGGTATGTCTATAATCTTCCAAAAGTCTGTGGATACTGGAAAAGTTCCCATTGATTGGAAGATTGCAAACGTAACTCCACTATTTAAGAAGGGTGGGAGAGTTAGTTTGACGTCAGTTGTAGGGAAAATTCTTGAGTCCTTAATAAAAGACGTAGTTATGGGATACCTGGAAGACCATAAAAAGATTAGGCAGAGTCGACATGGCTTTACAAAAGGGAAGTCATGCTTGACTAACCTTTTAGAATTTTTTGAGGATGTATCCAGCAGGTTGGATAAGGGGGAACCAGTAGATGTGGTATATTTGGATTTTAGGAAGGCATTTGACAAGGTGCCACACAAAAGGCTGTTACTCAAGATCAAGGCCCACGGGATTAATGGGAAAATATTAACATGGATAGAAGAGTGGCTATCGGGTAGAAAGCAGAGAGTAGTGATAAACGGATCATTCTCGAATTGGCAGGATGTAACTAGTGGAGTGCCACAAGGATCAGTGCTTGGGCCTCAGCTATTTACCATTTACATCAATGATCTGGACGAGGACATTGAATGTAATGTGTCTAAATTCGCGGATGATACTAAACTAGGTAGCAGAGTGAGCTCTCAGGATGATGCAAAAAGATTGCAACAAGATATAGATAGGCTTGGGGAGTGGGCAAGTAGGTGGCAGATGGAATTCAATGTTAGCAAGTGTGAAATTATTCACCTAGGTAGCAAGAATAAAAGAACAGATTATTTTCTGGAAAGGGAGAAGTTAGATAGAGTTAGTATTCAAAGGGATTTGGGTGTCCTTGTACACCAGTCCCAAAAAGTTAGTTTGCAGGTGCAGCAGCAACTAAGAAGGCGAACGGCATGTTAGCGTTCATTGCAAAAGGTTTAGAATATAAGAGTAGGGAAGTCTTGCTGCAACTGTATAGGGCTTTGGTGAAGCCGCACCGAGAGTATTGTGTGCAGTTTTGGGCTCCTTATTTAAAAAAGGACATACTTGCCCTAGAGGGGTGCAGCGTAGATTCACTCGGTTAGTTCTTGAGATGAGGGGACTGACCTATGAGGATAGGCTGAATAAACTAGGGCTGTATTCTCTAGCTTACAGAAGAATTAGGGGGGGATCTTATTGAAACTTATAAGATTCTTAAAGGGCTGATAAAGTAGACACTGAGGGTCTGTTTCCCCTGGTAGTAGAATCTATAACCAGGGGTCACAGTCTTAAAATTAAGGGTCAGCCTCTTAGAACAGAGTTGAGGAAACATTCCTTCACTCAGAGGATAGTGAATTTATGGAAGTCACTACCCCAGAAGGCTGTAGATGCTCAGTCCTTGAACATTTTCAAGGCTGAGACTGATAGATTCTTGAAAAATAGAGGGATTAGGGGATATGGGGATCAGAGTTAGGTGAGAAGATCAGCCATGACCTTATTGAATGGCGGAGCAGGCACGAAGGGCCAGATGGCCTACTCCTGCTCCTAATTCTTATGTTCTTAACATGAGTAGATAATTATGTAGGGAGGACAAGTTTGCAGGTTATGAGGGGAGAGCAGGGGTGGGATTGAATTGGATAGCTCTTTTAAAAGAGCTGGCACAGACACGATGGGCCGAATGGTCTCCTTCTGTGATGTATGATTCTACATGTATGCCACCTACACGTGAAAATATCCCTGGGTCCAGAATGGAATGCGTATTCTCCCTGGGAGAATGCACCCTACTTACCGAATTCCGGAGAGTATCAGCCTCAGGTTGGCAAGAGCCAAGGCTTGGGTCACCAGAGTGTGCGTTGGGGGAAACCACTGGAATCTAATCTGCTGAAACCACATAGCTTGCCATTGAGAGCAGTGCCTGGCAAGCTTTCCCGCTGCTTGTCCAGCTTGGACCACCCTACCCTTTAGGACTTTGGTTGACTCAATTCTGACACTCTGTTGCCAAGCAAGTCGCCTTCGGAGCCAGCTGAGCAGTAAGGAGACCCAGGAAGCCAATGCCCTAATGGTTTGGATAGTCATTTCTAGTGGGAATCTTGGCATTAAGGAAGGGAAAAAATGACAAATCCATTTAGTTCTTTAACAAAAACAGAAGTCGTAGGGAACACTAAAGGGTCAGGTGGCATCTATGGAGAAAGGAAAGTGAGTTAACGTTTTGGGTCCACGACTCTTTGTCAGAACTGGGGCATATTGGGAGGGAGAGGCTTTTAAGGACTAACAGAGGTGGGAGGCAGGACAAGGAAGACAAAAGTGAAAATGGAGTAGAGGACAGGGGATGATGGGTTAAAGAGATGTTAATCATGCAAATAAAGAGGGGATTGCAACAAAACGGGAAAAGAGGGGTTAATAATGCAAAACAAAGACGGGGGGGGGGGGGGGGGGGGAAATTGCAACAAAACAGGCAGACCAACGGTGTGTAGTAATGGTCACAGAATAGGGGGAGGTGGAAGGTGAACTGTTATGATTTGAAATCAACATTGAGGCCAGAGGGCTGTAAGATCCCTAGCAGATAGAAGAGGTGCTATTCCTTGAGCTTGTGCTGTGGTTCAATGGAACAGTGTACGGGACCATGGATGGAGAGGTCAGAGTGGGAGGCACCTTCCATGTCATTTAGTTCTTTGTTGGTTCTATCACCTCTTTACACGTCAATTGGAAGTGAGTTTCCCCAACACTTTCCTGCTCAGTATTTATAGGAAAGAACTTGATCAGAAAGTTACCAATTCCCTCCTAAGTGGTGTTCACCTCTGAGATTCACTTTTATGCTCAAGTTACTCACTTGAGTATTGCTGTGGGCATCAAACCCAGTGCAAATGATATGGAAACCCCATTAAGTGCAAGTTGAATGAAATGAAGCCACAGTTAAAGACTGGTTCCACCACGCAGTGAAGTGAACAAACACTCACCTGCAAGCATTCTGTACCCGAAGAAGAATGCTGCGATGAGAACAGCTACAACTGACACAGAGGCCAAAGCGATCACGATGGTCTCCTCCTTGTAGTACACTCTCCACGTATCTAAGATAAACAGAAGAGAGATTACCTATACTGTAGACATCCTCCACATAACACTGGGTTAAACTTCGCTGAGAGGTCAGAACCCATTTAATCCAGCGGACTGTGGACAAAATCGAATGAGGAAGAATATATTTTTTTTGGTGAAAAATGTGAGTAATATTTTTTACATGTCAGCCTGGCGCAGTGGGAACATTCTCGCATCTAAGTCAGAACATTGGCAACATTCCGGCCCCCTCAGGACTTGGAATCACATAGACTAAACTGACCCTCCAATGCAGTGCTGGGGGGGTGTTGCATTGTTGGAGGTGTCATCATTCGAATGAGACCAAATAAAATTGGTCATTCACTTTGTGGGTTATCATCCAACACCTCACCCATATCAAACAGTCTATCTACTACTAATAATAATCCTTACCTTTCATATAATGCCTTATCATGTTGTTGAGATTTTGCAAAGCTCTTCACAGCATATACTGTAAAGTGGAGTTACTACACATTTTGTGGGTGAAACGTGACACCAGTTGCACACAGCAATGTCCCACAATAGGCATGGAGGGAGTGACCAATGTTTTGTTTTACAGGATTATTACCCCCAGAAAATGATCTGCCAACGGACTAACAGCTGGGTTCCTACTTACAGTTAGGTAGAAGAATGTGAAATAAGGTTTTTGGGGTGGGGGGTTGGATGGGGTGAGTGTGTGTGAGTGTGCTAGTTTACGCTTCAAAAAGAAACTGTAAGAAGTCTTTGGAGATGTGATTTCTGAATCCTGGTGACTGGGAGGAAACAGCAGACTGAGATACTGAGGCCAAGCGTGGCTTTTCGTGGATTAAGGCAGACCTGTTATGGAACGGAACTTTGTGAACTGCATCGTACAGCGCCAACTCCAGAGGAAGAATATGAGGCATTCAATCCAATTCCCTTTAATCCAATCTCACTCTCCTGATGCTTTGGCTCAGTTGTTAGCACTGCACTCTCGTCTCTGAGACACATCTACAGAGCTTTTTCTTTGGAAACATCTGAAGCTCTGAAGGTGGAAGACATGTTGAGATTGAATCAGCCAGAAGGTCTTCATGTGAACTTCGCTTGTGATCTTGTGGATAAGTCTTGTGGATAAATTGTGGTGCAGAACAAATGCCAGGTCTCCTTTCATGAGGAGTTGTATCAGCTGCTGTTTCTTTATCATGTAACTGACTGGGTTGACCAACCCACCGCATACATCTGAGAGCAGACGCTCAGTAATTTTTTGGCCACCCGGGTGTCTGACACATGGAAACCAATCACCATGCTTAAGAGTATCCAAACCAAGCTGAGAATTCCATACATCCCAACTACATGTGAAAATCCCAGAGATAGATTGCTGGAATGAATACGCACTCTCTCCCTTGATAGCAGCATCCCGTTTACCTAATCCCAGAAAGTATGAGGCGCAGGTTGGCAAGAGCTTGCGGACCCCAGGGTGTGTAATGGGTTAATTCCTGGAGTCTAACCAGCTAAAACTGCAGAGCTTGGCATTGATATTGCTGCCTAGCAAGCTTTCCTGGTGCTTGTCCTGCTAGTACCCATTAGGGCTTTGGCTCTGACAGGCTTCACAAAATGACAAGACCACATCAGCTCCAAAAGACATGTGCAGCTGGTATAAAGTCTGAGAAAGTGATCCAGTATTTCTGAGCTAAATGTGTGCTTCGCTGACAACCCCACAGTGCCTGATCCCACACAGTACAGCAGTGAGCAGCTCAATACAACTTACTGGAAATGGTTGCTGTTTTTAGCAGCACGGTCGGTTCCCATCCCTGATATTAAGGCTCCGAGCCTTTGCCATAAATCAGTACATTCTGGTTAATGCACTAATGTTAATCACCTGGTAATTGATCTCAGAGGCACAAAAAGCACAGTCTGCCACTCTTGCCATCATGGTGATCAATAACATACATTTAGAGGAATGACCGATAACATTAATTCACTGATGTCAAAGTGTCCGCTAAAAACACGAAGGGAAGAACCTGTTTTTTCCAGTCGATCACCTTAAATTAAGTGTAAAACACGTCTTTTGGATGAAATATTAAACCGAGGTCCCATCTGCCTTTCAGTGGATGTTATAAGATCCCATGGCACTATTTGAAAAAAGGAGTTTCTCTTTCCCGGTGTCCTGGCCAACAACCCCCCAAATAAAATTGATCACTCACTCCATAGCTGTTTGTGGGACAATACTGTACGTAACTGACTGCCAAGTTTTGCTCACAAAAAACACAATGAAACTGCTTTACAGTATATCCTTTGAAATGCTTTGAGATGTCTCGATGACGTGATACGGAGCTATATAAAATGCAAGTTTTATTATTATTGTTATGTGCATTGGGATGTCCTCTAAATGGTACTGTATAAATGTAAACTTGCACTGTCTTATAAAACATTGTGCCTGGGATCATCGGTGTTGATAAGACGCTAGTAGCCAGCTGGCGTTTAACATGTGCGCACATCCTACACCCCGCTCAGCACTCTCACCTCTTTAACCAGAGTTCAGAAAAAAATCTAAACATCACTTTTCAGGCACAAACTGCTGCACTTACACACAAAAAAACAATCCAGAACTTCCTGTCTGCTGATCAGATGAATAGCTCGGCAACTTGATAGGACTCAGGGTTATGTTTACAAAATTGTGGAGCCAGACCAGTCCAAGCCTGGAGGCGCTTTGTCTGTTCCCAGCTACTGTTTCTCTGCTTTTGGCAAGCTCTCCAACAACCCACGTCAACAATACTGAAAAATACATCTTCGCCCATGCAGAGACCGACCCACCAAAACAAAAAAACTGTAAAGGAGGTCAAAGGGCTCTTATCTGCCTAAGCTCCTGTTTACAAGCAAACATACTCCAACTGATTTCATGCGGATCGAGCCAAAGCACGGGTTCTGAGGAGACTCTGGAGCTAGCCCGATGGCATGGTGGGTAAAGGCACAACAGCCCTGTGTACCACAAAGCCACGTAGACCTGAAGGTCGCAGATTCAATTCCTCGTCTGTCCTGAGTTTGTTCATCTCAGTGGGGCAGCAGTTGAGATTCTACAATGGCTTTCATTGTTATTGCTATGGTAGGTGGCTCAGTTGGAAGCACTCTCTCCTCTGAGACAGAATGTTGTGGGTTCGCCCCCATCTTCGCCCGGCTCCACTGGCTCATCCCGCAGAGGATCGAGGTTAAGCTCCTTGTCCTCACTTTTAAAACCCTTCACAGTTGGGTTCCTCCCTACCCGTGACCTCTTAACACCATACTAATCTGTCCACTCCCTCCGTTCAAGCGGGTACTGGTCTGCTCCATGTCCCCCACCCTGCCCACCATTGGCGAACAGGCCTTCAGCTTTTCTGTCCCCTGTTCTGGAACTCCATTCCCAAATCCCTTCACCTAACCCCCTCCCTTGCCTCCTTTAAGGCCCGTCTCAAGACCTTCCTCTTTGACCGTGCCTTTGGCCACACTCACACCCCTCCTACCCTCCACCCCTCTTGTTTCGAACCGCCCCAGATCGGGTGCAAACCCTTCACTGACCAGAGCCTTGGGACATCTTCCCGATGTGAAAGGCCCTATATAAATGTAATTTGTTTGTTTGTTTGAATTCACAGTCCAGAATAAGGCTTCACTGACTCAGGTGCCATCTTTTGGAAATGATATTAAACCAAAGTACTATCTATGGCCACTGAAGATCTCATGGAAACATTCGAAAAGCCACCAGTTCTCCAGGTGTACTACTAACTATCCTCCAGAACTTAGCCAGCATGCTTGTCTACAAAAACAGCCTTTACGTGCGACAGCAATTACTGTGAAGCACTTCAAGACCTTTTTGATGTTCTTAGTGCTTCAAGAACAATGAGGTTAGGTGGAGTCTTGTAGCTCAGTGGTTACAGCACTTGCCTCGCAAGCAAGAGACCTGGGTTTGATTCCTGACAGGGTAAAACCTTGGGCAAGTTTCCTTACTCCACACCCCTGCTAATAATCCCTCAAGAAAAAAACAATAGTAATAAATTGGTCACTTCAATCCACAATTGTTTGTGGGGCACTGTTTTGCACAATTAACTGCCGTGTTTCGCCACAAATATACAGTCAATTCACTTTACAGTGTGAAGCACTTTGAGACATCTAGAAGATGTGAAAAGCACTATATCAAATGCAAGAATTATTATTATTATTATTATACAGCTGAACAGCCCAGCCCAGCTCTTTACCTCGGTCGTGAATGAAACAGCGCCTCGATCCAACGCTTCAACAAGCTTAATGTGTCATCCCCATTCACAGAACTGCAAATGTAAGCCCTAGTCTGGAGAGAGCACCAGCTCAATTGACACAATAAGAACACTCAGGTGCCCTCTGTGCCTGTAATGGTCCCCATTAAAGAAGTACCTTTGTAAAATAACTATTTATTCATTGCCACAACAATGAAATGAACATCACACACTGTTGGAACATCTTGTAATATCGTAATATCTTGTGCTTAATGATCCATGGGTTATTAGCATTGTCATCTGTGAAGCAGTTACAAGGGACTCCTTTCAAACTTGGACTCAACAGTGTTTGCTTACAAATTCACAGTCACCACACTTTAGAAACACAGAAATCTACAGCGCAGAAGGAGTTCTTTCAGCCAATCCTGTCTGTACCGGCTCACAGAGCAAAGACCTCTCTTTATATGAAAAAAACTTGCATTTCATACAGCGCTCCTCACATCAGGAGGCTATCTCAAAGTGTTGCATGATATTTACTGTAAAGTCTGGTGGTTAGCTTTTTTGTAGGTGAACATGGCAGCTAATTTGTGTACAGTAATGTCCATAAGCAGCCATGAAGTGAATAACCAATTTCATTTAGAGGATTTTTGGCCAGTCATCAAGAGAAACTCCTTTCTTTTTTCCAATAGTGGTATGAAGGTTGAGGTAACAAGTGCGAATTCACATAAACATTAAACGCATGCTACAATGGACCATTAGAGCGTTATTAAGTAGCTCTACACAATGAGATAGTTCAG